AGGTTAAACCGCAGGTGGTGTTGTTCGGTCGGCACAGGGAAAAATCGTGGTCTAGGCTTTCGGTCAGTTATGTATTATGCCTTACAGGTTTAGCGAGCTCACTACAGCACAAACCCTCCTTCGAGTCAGGGTACAGGAATGGTCTGATCGATCGGCTGCGATCGGTCCATCTGCGAGCAGACATTGCTTCATCCCCGGGCACGGGGGTGTCGATCCCCTGGCTGGCATGCCGGCGCCCTCTTCCACCCCCTGCTACGGTATTTGCACGGTCGATCATGGACATCCCTTGAAAGGAGCATGGAGAACTTCTACGTGCCAGTGCCAATAGAATAGCTTGCTGGTGCTGTACGTAAAATTTTTTCTTGGGGTTTTTTCCGTCCATGGTCATGTGGTGTCGAGAAGAGTGGAAAGCGAGCACTCCGACTCAATACCAGGCCACAAGCCTAAATACGCGGAGTGTCACCGAATATCCCCTGTCGCGTACAGTCGTCGTACAGATGTGAATTGTCGTTGCACATGTCCAGCAGGCCAGTTGACAAGGCACGATACACCGCCGGCCGAGTGAGAAGTCAATTCCATCGCCAACCAGAAGTATACCTGCATACATAAGTGTATGTATAGCAAGCACTTGTAGATCGGCCGTTGCTGTTGGGGCCCGGGTGGGTGGAGCGAGCAAAGTCAATGACCCACTCGAAAAATTGATTGATCCGCTAATTATAGTCCGACAGGGACAGTCCCAGTCTCAGTCGTGTAGATATTTTACGGCGTAGAATATACTATTATACGAGCTCAGAGAAGAATCACCGAGAGTACATCTTGTATTGTATGTATACCGGAGTACCTAGTGGTTGTGACTATTCTACCCTAATACAAGTCGTACGTACCGCATTGCGTGGAAGGCCACGACAGGGAGCGATAACCAACTAGCGCACCTTCATCGCCGCATCCAGCGCCCGCCGGCCTCAGCAACTTCTTATCGCCTCCGTTTCCGGATCGGGCGGGGGATCCACGACGTTAGAACAATCCATTCATTCTTCTCTTCGGTCGCGCTCAGGCTTTTTGACCCAAACCAGAACAGAAAAAAAAGAAGCAGGGACAGACAGAACTCAGCCCCCCCCAAAAGTCCCCAACTCACCTAACTAACTTTCCGATCCCGTCCATCCATCCTTCCTTCCTTCCTTCCTCAACTCTTCAACTTACTCAACTTCTCTCATCCACCTTATCGCCTTCCTCTCTCTCCCTTGTCATCTCCCCTTCTTCACTCTTCTTCCTCCTTCCCGCCACCTCCTGTCCTTCTCCCCCCACCAACCACACTCCTACCTTCCCTCCCATTATCCACTCTGGATTGCTTGTGGTCTTCTCTGTTCTAGGCGGCGTCAATCGCGCCTTTGGACCTCTCGACGATCTTGGTCCGACATCCCGACGCTTGCTGTCCTCCCTCCCCTCCCAGTCACCATGGCTCCTCCTCCGCGCCTGCGCATCCTGTCTGGTGAGTTTCTAGCTGCTGCATCGACGCATCCAAGGTCCTCAACTAACCCGATTCTGTTCAGTCGGCGGCAATGGGATCTCGGCCTTCCTGTCATGGCGGCTTCAGGCAACAACCTCCTGCGACGTCACCCTCGTGTGGAAATCCGGGTTCGAAGCAGTCTCCCAATACGGCGTCTCGTTCAAGTATGTTTCTTCGTCTCAGTCCCAGCTGGACAAGTGTGTTCCTAACGTCGTGGGCAGATCGAAAGCATTTGGCAACGAGCGGTTCAAGCCCCGTCATGGTACGATGAACTCCACCGCCGGAATCACCGATCGTGTAAACTGACAAGAGTTCGTTTCTAGTGGTTCGCACCCCTGAAGAAGCCGCCTCCCGTGAAAACGCCTTCGACTATGTCATCCTCTGTGTGAAGGCCCTCCCTGATGTCTACGACCTTGCCTCCATCATCGAATCCGTTGTTACTCCCCAGCACACATGTATCCTCATCAACACTACCAATACCCTCGGCATCGAATCTCACCTGGAGCAACGATACCCCACCAACGTCGTTCTTTCCCTGGTTTCGCAGGTAGAAATCTCCCAGACCGGACCCAGCGATTTCGAACACCTGAGTTCGAGCGAGATCCATGTGGGCGCTACCAACAAGCAGTCTGCGATCCCGACCTCGATCCAGAACGACATGGCTGCGGCATTGGCCATGACCCTGAGTTCGGGTCAGGTCGATTGCAAGGTGTCAGATAATATCCGGCAGGAACAGTTTGAACGGATGATTGGGTAAGTCCTGGTTTTTTGTTTCAGGGGATCTGTCACGCCAGTGCTAATGATCTTGCCGCAGTCCGATCGCGTTCCATCCAGCCAGCGTGATTTTCGAAACCTCCAACCCTAGCCAACTCCTTGAAAAGTCCGGGGTCCGTCAATTGGTGACGGGCGTTATTGACGAGCTCCTGGAACTCGCCAAAGTAACAGGCTGCTCTTTCCCAAGCGATTTCCAACAGAAGACGATCGAGAAGATGACCGCATCGGATGCGCCCAGCATGATGTACCAGGACTTCCAAGCCCGCCGGCCCATGGAAATCGAGACGTTCCTGGGCTCTCCGATCAAATTGGCGACCAATTCCAACGTCCAAGTTCCTCGCATTGAAACACTGTACGCGATGCTCCACCATGCGAATACCCTGAACCAGACCAGACCTCGACATGGCGATTCCCCACCAGCATCGGTCATGGGCCAGCCACCGCCCCGAATGTCTTCCGCGCCTCCACCTCAGAGACCCCCCATGAACGGTGCCGCCATGCGTGGGAGCCGAACCAGCTCGAGTATGGGAATTCCACAGGTGCGACGTGGACCGCCCCCGGGTGCGATGCCACGGGCCCCCTATGCTGGTCGGGGCCCTCCGCGCGACCAGTCTCTAGAAGGCCTGGAAGAATTCAGCCATCTGGTGGTGTACGATGACGCCGATGGAGCGAATGGTAGCAACGGATTCCCCACCAGTGGGCCTGGATCTTCGCCGGCCGACTTGGCGATGCGGGAGCGCGAGCTGGCCCTTCGCCAGCGAGAGTTGCAGGTTCGCGAGCAGGAGATGGGCATGCGACGGGGTCCTGGTCCTGGTCCTGGCCCAGGACGCCGCGGACCGCCTCCAAGGCCAGCCCCATTCGAGGAAGAGGGCGAGGACTATTTTGACCCGATGGACAATATAGTCCCCCACGTGGATCCCGACAGCGTTGATATGATGAGCATCACCTCGCGTCGAGCGAGAAAGGCCCCGAGCGCCAGCCAAATCCGCAACAACCCCGAAATGTCTGGACCTCCTGGTGGCGGCGGCAGCCGCCCACCTTCTTCGGCATTCGGTCGATACTTTGGCCGGAAACGGGCGAGTGATCGGGTTATGCAAGAAATCCCTGGTCTCCACGATTCTCTTATGGACAACCCCATGATGAGCTACTCATCCAACCGATACGGGGCCGTTGACCGCAATCAGATGCAGGCCGACTCGCGAGCGAATTCTCTCACTGCCAGCCGCATGGGCGATTTCCCACCACACCCTTACCCTCAGAGCCGACGCAACAGCCAATCCCCCGCAACGCCGCTTGGACCCGGAGGTCCTCGAATGGGACGCCCGATGAATGCTCATGATCCGCAAAACTTGGGCCTTCCCAACGGGCCTCCTCATAATGGTCAGCCATCACCACCGGGACAGATGCGCACACCGGTCCCTCGATACCCCCCCGGGCATGGCAATGCGATGATGCCGCAACAAGTTGAACAACACTATGGGGTGAGCCACCCATATCCCGCCAAGGGTCCTCCCCCCAAGAATAAGAGTCTGACTGGAAGTGCGAGCGCCAGCGCGGAGAGTGGTGATAGCGGGGCCAGTGCGAATCTTGATTCCGGAGCATCGGCTCACAGCAGCCAGGCCAGCTTGGGCGGCCAGCCGGCCGTTCTGGCATCTGCTCGCTGAACGATCTCTTTATTTTTGGCGACCAAACGACGACAACGACACACTCGTTTTCGATATTGCGCCATTGCATCGCATGGGGTCCTTTGCATCGTTGCGTGACATTCTACGGAGATCTTGTCCTCGCAGACAAGATACCCAGTCAATACTCTGTTGATCGCTACTTTACATATACACGAGGGACATAGGATTTTATCGCTTATTTCTTTCAGTGCTTGTTCCGGAGTGATCGGGGTGCGGGCGTGTGTTTGAATTTTCCCCTCTGCCTCGGTACTCATTCTCGTTCTGCGGCATTATGGATTTTTAATGAGGCCACCGTGCGAGCCTAGACTGGGATATCTTCCCCATTTTTCTTTTTTCTTTTGTCGGCATGTCGATATAGCGCCCTCGGCGCTTCCTCTCCTGCTTTTCCCGCTGTCTCTGCATAACTGTACACTACCAACCTCCATCGGCGCATTCCTTGTTGTTTTTTTGACGCTCTTACCATCTGGGCTCGTATACGTTACACCGCGATTCTGCTCTTTGTGTTATCATCATCTCTGTGTTCAGACGGGGCATTTCGTTCCCTTTGATTTTTTTTTGTCTTCATGCTTCCTGTTCTCATCTGGCTGGCTGCCAACGGCTTCGTTTTGTGTGTGGAACTGGCGCATAACCAAAAGAGCGGGCGCGATCGTTCCATTTATTCGGTTTAAGTTGTTGATCTGAGTTTCTGGCTGGGTTTGCGCTGTTTCTTTTTTTGTCAACTGACGTCACCTGGAAATTAATGACGGGCGCAGTGTGTTGTGTTATTGTGCCTCATCAAAACAGTCAATACTTCTGCGAAGAACGCACGAATCGATAGACCTTGCCTGACTTATTACGAAGCTATCAAGTATCAAGTTCTTTTTGTACTGGCATCGATCTGGAGAATAGTCCACGTGACCGCTGCCGTGTAAACAAAACCCGCGTCTAGTCAACTATTTGTTCCTGTCAACAGACACCACCAGCAAAAAGATCCAATTCACTCCTAGTACTTGCCCAGACAAAATACTCAGCAAAAACAATCCAGACCACCAAAAATGCCACCACTCAACACGCAACACCAGCACCGCCGCCACGACTCCCAATCCTCCAACTACCCCCGCGCTTCCATCCTCCCACACTCCACCAACTCCGGCACCTTCAGCGGAGGAGCAAGCAATTCCTCCACAGTACCCGGAGGAGGCATGAGCACAATGTCTCCCGCCAAAACCCGGCAATATGCACACCTCCACTCGCAGCTCGCACAACTCAACGCCAACCTCGCAGACACGGAAAACCTGCTGCGCATGACGGCCGTGCAGGCGGGCGATATGCGGTTTTTGGGCGGGTATATCGGGGCTCTGTTTATGGGCTCTGCGAAGGTGCTTGGCGAGGAGGGGGTTAGGGCGAATGCCGATTTGAAGAGGGAGGAAGGTTCGAAGAGTCCGGATGAGGGGGGACAGGCTGGGGATGGCCTTAAGAAGGAGGTGTTAAGTGATGAGGATTGATCCAGTTTGAAACGCATCTATTGTAGGTGGAGTGGTAAGTGTGTTCTCTCTCTGATGGTTTGACTTGTGCTAATATCTCGACAGATTTATGAGATATCCTCTTCCGTCCATCGATATGCACTGACAACCGACCCGTGCAACACAACTACTCAACGACAAACCCACCCCCGAGAATAATCGCCGGCTCGTCAATATTATGATGTTCATAGCTAGTTACCGCGGCCCAGGTCGTCAGCAATGTTCATCCATAAGTCTTTTTTTGAAACGCGCCAAGGTCCTCCTCACTCACCTCAGTGTGCCAACACCGCCCGCCTCCAGAATCAGCGACGTATCCGTCAACGGCTTGCCTGTCCAGCGCATCGCGAACGCGCGCAGGATATGTCCGTGCGCAACGACTAGCACATCTCCCTTCGCGCAATCCGGGTTCTCGAAGCCCGGCCGGTGGTATTTCTCTTTGATCTCGGAGATGAGGGCGTCGAGGCGCTGTTTTACGTCCTCGGGGGATCTAGCAGAGAATTGAGGATTAGTTACTGTCACTGTCACTGTCACTGCCACTGCCAATGAGATTGCATTGCAGCATAGGATAGCAGATTGAGAAATGAACTGAAATAAACATACTCCCCACCAGGACACCCATCCCTCCAGATATCCCAAGGCCCCAGCCCCTTCTGCTTGCGACTCTCCTGGATCTGCTTGCTGGTCCACCCCTCATACTCGCCGTAATCCCACTCGCGAATCGCCTCCGTAATTTGCACATGTGCCTCCGTGCGGATAGGCTCTTCGTTCTCGGACTTCCGCTTGTCGGTCCAGGGGAGTCGCTCTTTGCAGCCTATTTCGAGGAGTTCGAGGGTTCGTTGGGCGCGGGTGCGGGGAGAGACGTAGCTAGATCGGATCATTTTGTGTCAGATAGAGAATCAGGCAGACAGACAGGAATGACATGAATGGCTTGTCCAAAATAAAACCGGGGAGGGAGACAAGGGGGAAATACACATGGGCTAGCTTCTTAGGCACGATTAGTCGGTCGTCGCCTACCAATGCCTTGCCTGTTGCTTGGATCCGCTTCTCGCCGTTGGCTGTTAGCGGGAGATCGGTGGATCCGGTGTGTCGCCCATTGAGAGACCATTCGGTCTCGCCGTGGCGGATGATGAAGCAGCGGGGGACCATGGGGGCTGGTTTTAAGGAATTGGGGAGTTTTACAGAGGGAGGAGGAGAGGGAAAGAGAAGAGGAAGCGGAAGTGGGTTGTTTCTTTCTTTGCTGACTTGGGCGGAGTGGAGTGGGATGGCTGGACGTTGCGTCATTTGTTGAGATAAGACCTGGTCAGTGCTTATCGCCAAGTATAGACTGTGTATATGTACTTCGGCAACTAATTCAAGATTTATTAGGAAGGGAAAGCCTTTGTGATTTCTTGCATTTGAAGATGAAGAGCTCGACTATACAGGTTCTCTGTAAACCGTTGCGGCCGACACACTTCGACGTTTTCTCTCAACCCGTGATCGCGACTTCTTTGCAGTGCAAGCAGATTTTCAGACCTGAAACACTGGACAAGCTTCAATTTATCCTCAAAGCTTAGTCGAATCCGCTCCCTTGGGCATATAAGCCGTCCCCTCAACTTGGCTAACCCCATCCACAGCACCCAACCACCCAACCCGGTCCTTCATAAACTGCTCAATCCTGGGCCTCAACTTCGTCTCATGCAAACTAAAATCATCCACCGTCCCAATCCGCAGGATACTATGTCCCGGAAATGCCTCACCAACACGATACATAAGCGTTCCGCAGGCTGAACAGAAATAATTCGTCATTGCCATGCCGGATCCTATAGTCTTCGACTGGCTAAACGTCTTGAGGGTCTCTCGGCCACGCAGGTGTCGGAGATGGGTGTCTGCCACGATAAAATTGGAAGCGAACATTGAAGCTGTTATCTTGCGGCAGTCTGTGCAGTGGCAGATGAATGTGTCGACTAGGCCTGGGCCTTGTGTTGGCTAGGTTGGTGATGATGTTAGTCTATTTACTGTATAGGAGGAAATGCGACTATGTCTGGGGCACTTACAAATGCCAATTGGACCGCTCCGCAGTAGCATGTAGCTGTTGCTTGGTCTTCCTTGGACCACCCATCGTCGGCGCCGCCGGATAGAGGAATGTATGGTTTGGATTTATCAGCTGCAGCTGCCATATTTTGTGCTTTTCTCGAGTTATCAGACGATAAGAGCTTTCAAGTATAGTTGACTCAAGGGATTTTTATTATTTTCTCTTTGTTGACTGAAAGCAAGTTAATTTATGTTAAAGAGCAAGTCCGGCCAAGAAAAAGGACGACATGTCTGAGTAAGTCGGATATATGATTGATAATCCGGGATAATTTTGGACCGATTTGTGCTTGGTTTACCACTTTTATTTTAAGCGTTCAAAGTACTATAATCTATGAAATGCTTGAGGTTTATATTTAACCTTGCCGGGCAATACATGGTAAATCTATGACAGCGCATCTTTATTTCTTTAAAGCAACATTGTGTCTTAAAATGGGGGAGCTGGAATTTTACATCTGATGATGCGGGTGCCTGATGGGGTCAGCGCCCACCGCCGCCCGTAGATAGACCTTCCCTTCTGGGAGACCACTTAGGAATACACTCACTTCTCGCTCGCTTCTTCCTCCCTAGAGATCTTCCAGCTCAGGTCTAACAGAACCCCCCTAAGGATGTACTGCTAAGCGTTATGTACTCCTACTATTCAAGATCTCTTCCATGCATGCCCGGTCCTTGCTCAACGCACCACAATACCCTTCATGTCGCCGTCAGACCGCCACTTTTCAATAACTCCAAGCCAATGCTCGATTCCCGAGCCCCAAAGTCCCGACCGCGCTAAAACCATCTGTTGCTCGGGTGGCACACGATCAAGTTCACCCTCTAGATTGAAGTATCCCGGTGTGCATCCAATTGCAACCCCCATGGGCGCAGAATGCATCATAACTTGCATGCCCCAATCCTCTGCCGCCTCCGTGGACGGCGCAACAACAAAGTGTGCACCATTGGCCCTACGCTTCGCTTCGGCCAATATGTACGACATGTGCTTCGCGTACTCGTCGAGGTTGAAGCGATAGTTTCCACTTGTAGACGCCTGCTGCGGTCCGGAGAGGAAGAGATTTGGGAACTTTGCATCGATAACACCGTGCAGGGTCGTAGGGCCGAAGCGAGGCCATTCATCACTCATAGAGACTCCATTCAGGCCTATGACTGACATGTTTGCTTTCTCGGCTGGCGTGCCAGCGGGCGGTGCAAGGAAGCCGGTTGCAAAGATGACTACATCGGCCTGGTAGGTGTTGTCGCCGATAACCAGAGAGTCTGCCGTCATCCGGTCGATGCCCTTGCCGTCGGTATCGACAAGAGTCACGTTGTCTTGATTGAAGGACTTGAGGTAGTCGTCGTGGAATAAGGGACGTTTACACCATATAGGATACCAGGGCTTCAGTTTCTCTGCGGTGGCAGGATCCTTCACCTCTTCATCCACGCGAGCATGTATGCGGTTTTGATGGGGAGTGTCGATCTCAATCAATCTTGCCGTGTATGCTGGGATTTCTTCCGGTAATTTGGGTCCCTCTGCATACCCAGCTAGACCTACTAAGCCAGGGGCGCGGGTCCATCCATCGTTGACCAGGTTGACTGTTGGCATCTCCCCAAGAGTGAAATGTTGATGGAAGTTCCGCATTCGTTCTCGTTGCCATCCTTTCGTTCTTGCAACTTCCTTATGGAACCATTCTTCGTCAGTCTCTCGCTGATCACGAACGTCCACTGAGGCCGGCGTCCGCTGTACGACAAAGAGGTGCTTGCACCATTGCGCGAGATGCGGAACACTTTGCACCGCTGTCGCTCCTGTGCCGATAATAACGACTCGCTTATCCTTCAACTTGGCAAGCAATGGCTCTTTGGGAGATCCACCAGTAACATCGTATGCCCAACGAGCAGAATGGAACATGTCACCTTGGTAGTCCAGAATCCCCGGGATGTTCGGCAGCTTAGGCCAGTTAAGCACACCAGCAGCAATGGTGACAAACTTAGAGCGAACCTGGAGACTCTCTGGAGATTGGCCCTTGCGACGCTGGATTAGATTGACCGACCATTCTTTGGCATCATCATCCCAAACAATCTTCTGTGCTTGGGTTTGGAAAACGGCACAGTCTTTCAATCCCCATTTCTGCACAACAAGATTGGCATACTCCCTGATCTCTTCGCCTTGCGAATACCGGTGCTTGGGTACATATCCCGTCTCCTCCAGATATGGGAGGTAGGTATAGCTCTCAATGTCACACATAAGCCCGGGATACCGATTCCAGTACCAGGTGCCACCAAAGCCACCAGCCGGGTCGACAATGCGAATGTCATCGGCTGGTATGCCAGCCTCGACCATGCGGATGGCATTCTGTATCCCGCCCCATCCGGCACCGATGATGAGCATTTCGGTTCGCTTTTCGGGAAACTTGGCTTGGAGGGGCTGGACTGCTGCCGGGTCAACCCACGGATCATCGGCGAAACGCTCATACTGAGCTGACTTTGCGACTTCGATGTACTGTGCGTTTCCGTCATCGCGCAGGCGTTTCTTTCTTTCTTCCTCGTAGCGGGCTTTCATTTGGGCCAGTTGGGTGGGATCAATCTCTTCATTGGGATTGGATAGAGTGCCATTATCTTTACCGCCGATGCTGGACATGGTGAACAACAATATATATTGGTGACTTTAATTTGGATTAAACCAGGGGAGTGAGAGCAGGTATGAAAGAACTAAGCAAGGCTATTTATACCATTGCAAATGTCAGCGGAATCCAGCTGCGTCAGCTAATTTCTTTGTTCACCCCGCGGCCAGCGACCGGGGGCTGTGAATCTAAGTTGGGGGCTGAACAGCAGTTGTATTGTAGAAGTCCGGATTCATCCATTAAGCATCATGTGATGGGGAAATTTGGGGGCTGCCTAGGACGATATGAGAAAGAAAGGGTTCGATCTCAGTTTCATTACTATATTTATATAAATTCTCACATGGAAGGCATAGATCAAGAGAAACCATAAAATGATCTTTCAAGTTTTGTAGCAGGAAAACCACTGTTGGGAGCACTAAGCCGCCTTCGTTATAGCCACTGTACTACTAAAAATATCCTTAACAGCCTGCTATATATAGCCCATCTCACCTACCAATCCCTCCTATAAGTTCAAAGGACTATTTGACCATGGGCTCACTACCTAGAGGTGTCCCGAGCTTCAGATAACCAGCTAGTATACATAGCGGAACTGATGTAGCTCTCGGTCTGTCTTATCCGTGAGGTTGAAGGCGGCCCAAGACACAGGAACGCCGTCTTGCTCGAGATTTACCGCTGCAGCGGCGGCATCTCGCTTTCTATTCTCCCAGATACAATAGAAACGTATCAAGAGGCTGATGATCGCGGAGACTGAAAAGCACACAAGCATTCCAGCAAATCCCGAAGGATAGCTGGGTGCTTCTCGGGCGAACATGATTTGCGGGCCGACAATGTTTCCGGCACAGTATGCAACAAATACCTACATGTGCCGGTCAATGTGAGGATGGCTTCTTCAATATTGTGGAATTGGAGACAACATACCACTGCTGTGACAGTTGATTTCTTAGTGAAACCCGCTGTGTTGCTTGTGATCATCGTCATGGTGAGGGGGAAATTAGCCGAGAAAGCAATGATAAGACAATATCCCATGAAGCGAGCCCAAATCTGCTCGGGATTGATCTGTCGAATCATGACCGTGCCAATAAGTGCCATGATAGTGTTGAATGTCATCCAATAAGTGCGAGTATTCTTCAGATAGGTGCTGCCAAGGGCGGAAATTGTGACGAAAACCACCTGGAATCCGGTTCCAATCATTTGGACAAGAAGAGTATCAAGCGTGGTAAAACCAAAGCCTTCAACAACGATAGAGGCGAACTAGTCAAAATAATGAATCAGATGGAGCTCGAAAAATATGTCCGAGGGCAGTCAACAACTTACCGATCCCACGCCCCCGTTGGGCACGTTTTGTGTAAACTGAAATAGCGCAAATAGCCACGTTTTCGGATCCACCAGAGCTTCGATAACTTGGTAGCGCTTGATACGGTGACTTTTGATGCCGGTAAGGTTATCCTGGATACGCTCCACGGCTTTGATCTGGTCCTCCTCTTGAAGGAACCATGCCCCCATGGGGCTGTCGGGAAGTGCAAAGTAGCATATGATCGACCACACAAAGGTCGTACTGCCAAAGATGATAAAAAGTGCCTATTAAAAGCCAATGGAATAAGAATCAAAGTAAATTGTTCTTTAGAAAGACCAAGCGGTGTCCTTACCTTCCATGCTGCAAAACCATGGATGTGCCCAACTGCATACCCCAATAGGCCACCCACCAGACCTCCAAGAACATTGCCCATAAACCATGAAGCTTGACGAATAGGCTGCTCAGACCTCTTGTACCACATTGGTATGATGAGGCTCATGGAAGGAGCAATGCTCGCTTCGACTGATCCTAGGAAAAAGCGCGCGGCCCACAGTGCAGACGCACTTTCGCACAGGACAGTCAACATGAGAATCGCCGACCAAACTCCCCTATTTTTAACAAGAAGGGGATTAGTAAGAACTTCATCTTTTCGTGAGTTTGGAGATGCTCACATAGCGGCCGACATGAAGCGGCCAACGGGCAAACGAATGATTAGCAGCGCCACAATCCCCGAAGCAGCGAGATACCCAAAGTAGAAAAGGGAAACCGCCCAAGAATAGTCTTGGCCAACAAGGTGCATGTCGGTCTGGAGACCAAGAATGGCGCTATAATTCATGGCTTGCTTGTCGAGATATTGAAATAGGTACGAGAAGAATAGAAGCGGGATCAAGCTGGTCAACAATCAACATCAGCTTGCATATGGGGCCATTCGGTTGATGGGCGGAGATTACATACCAGAGATCTATTTTGCGAAGAAGACGACGATCATCTTCAGGGGACAAAGGGACTCCCAGCTGAGACTGATAATTCTCCAGCACCTGCAGAGTTTCATCGGCTCCATCGATGTCAACTTTGAGCATATCCTTTGCAGCACTAGAAATTGCCGCCGGATTTGGCTGGTCCAGATGAGTAGACATGACAGGTAAAGTAAAAGTCGCGTAAGTGAGGCGACGCTGCGCATTATGTGTATCAGTTCCGTCTGGGGAGCGCACGCCGAGTCAATTTATATTTGCTGAAGGGAATTGGGACTTCACCGTCCTGTGCATTGGCAATTCAGATATTCAGCATTTCGGTCGGCAAGCGCACCTATTCACCTGACACTTGCTATCTTTTGCCAATCCCCAATCTTTAGCCATAATGTCTTATCGATTGCGGGGGAAAATGGAACTTAGTTTAGGTTTATCTACGATACGACGGCATTCGGTCGGGCCGAATGCCGAATATAGATCATTGCAATGAGATACGACGGCATTCATAGTAGTCCAATAAACGACCTTAATACCAATAAGCGGAACAACGAGGGAAATCTAGGTCATTCTCGCCGAAGCTACTTATCACTAATAAATTTTACCATATAGTAGTCAAATGTGGCTATGATGAAATCAATAGTCTTCTAACTATCAAGTCTGTACTTATAGTAGAACAGCGGGAAAACCCTACTCAGTGAGATATAGACGTCTATATCAGGGCACATTCCTGTATTGGACGAATGTTTCAGGTAAGCCAGCGTCAGGATGTGGCAGTTGGATGACTAGTAAACCACCGGTGTATAGTTGATCTGCCACGTAGTTCACGACGGCATTCGGATTTGAATCGCAAATTTCACGCATCGACGGATTCGAATGTGCCAACAAAATCACATATATCAACCGGATTTCCCCTAGCAACTAGAAAATAAATACACTAGGATCATATTTCAGAACGACCTTCACAGAATTCAGTTCCACAAAAATTCACCATGGCTACTACTGCGACAAAGACCATCTCCCCAGTTAAGCTTTTGCTGGAGCCTCGAAATGCCCTGTATGTCATCTAGGGTCTTATTCTCATCTCTGCAAATTCACTAATTTACTTGAATTGACAGCGCCGATGCTCCACCTGGTGACTGGCGCGCGGAGCTTCGCGAAAATGGGTTTGCAGTGATCAAAGGTGCAATCCCACGGGAAACGGGCGTCGGCTACCAACAAAGGGCCCGTCAATGGTTGAAGTCATTCGAGAATAGCGAGCTGGACTACGAGGACCCTGAGACCTGGGTGGCGAAGAACCTTCCCGTCCAGAGCACAATCAACACTTTCAGTGCCTATGCGGTCGCGCATGAGAAGTTCATGTGGGATGCTCGCATGGAGCCAGGGGTTGTTGACGCCTTCGCCAAAATCTGGGGGACTGATGAACTCCTCGTCAGCTTTGACAGTCTGAACATCACTTTCCCAAACCGCAAGGATGTTCCGCGGAAGGGTGCGTGGGAACATGTGGACCAAAGCCCTTTGCGGCGCGGTATGCATTGCATCCAAGGAATCATCAACCTCTCCGCGGCGGGCCCAGATGATGGAGGACTCGTGGTATATCCTGGTTCCCATCACTTTGTTGATGAGTACTTTGATACCGAAACAGAGTCGTCTACATGGGCTCCCAAAGACCTTTATTGGTTTGACCAGACTAAGCTCGACTGGTTCAAGAAGAAGGGCATCCACTCCCACAAGGTCTGCGCAGACATTGGCGATCTTATTGTATGGGACAGTCGTACCATTCACTATGGTGCTGAGCCAAGTGAGGCCAGTAATACCATCCGCACTGTGATTTACGCTGCCTACTCTCCTGCAAAGTTTGCGACCCCCGAGACCCTCGAACGCAAGAGGCAGATATTCAACAAGTATGGAGGTACCACCCACTGGCCTCATGACAACGTCGTCATTCGCAAGAATTGGGCCATGCTCCCTGATGGAACCCGAGATCCGCGAGATCGCGAAGCGCCTCTTGAGCTCCCCCATATGAGTGATCGGTTATTGAAACTTGCCGGTGTGAGGCCATACTAGGCTCAATAGCGTGTTGGATAATCATTTATCCATTGCGAGGGTACGTCTCAAAGTCCAAGCTAGGCGTAGCAAGACTTTGAAGGGTCAGAGGCAAAGGTTTATTAAGCACACAATGTAGTTAAATCCATTCATTATATTATACTTTTTACTTCATTTGCCGAGTAGAGTTTTTCTTACCGGGGGCGGATTTACTCGTGATCATTCGAGAAAGGGAGAAGGTCCGGATTTCTGGACAGCTTAACCTTCGAAGCTAGGACCGGTTGGCGAAAGTATTTTCAGCTTTCAGACGGACATTTGACAGTTGACGGCTAACCATACGTAATAAAGGCCTGTGATGGCTTCTGGGTGCTTGAACATGACACGGGATGAAAAAGGAAGATTTCGAGACCGATGTAAGGAGCTATTTCTTGAATTCTTATTTCATAGAGCTGGGCAAAAGATAACCCCAGACGGTGATTGGCACTGCGGGATTGACTACCCTGGTCCGGTTATCTACATGCGGAGAATGCGCTATCGGACCTTACCCGGGCCCCCTCTCATTGCCAGATCATGTCCGACATCTTTGCAGTTGACACAAGAAGAGATTCAGCAACCCCAGGCTACTCACGATAAATTGTCGTCCGGGTCAAGAACATGCCTCGTCAACGGACAGCCTGTTACACATGTGCATCAATCAAGGCGGCATGTAACCAGGGCCAGCCCTGTCGTCGCTGCGAGCGTGAGTAGCTCTCCAACAGTGTTAGAAACGTACTGATTTTATACGCGTTGAAGGGCTTTCTTTAGCCTGTTCATATGGGTCCAAATGGCAGCGAACCCCTGCTGGGGCTGCTAAGCCGAACGCGAATAACAAGAGGTTCCGGCGCAGGGCAAGCCATCAACGTTCCCGTAATGGCTGTATGAACTGTTTAGAACGGTAATATGCAATTTTAATGACTTGCATAAAAGAATATTGACTCATCAAAATCTCTTGCATAGTCGGAAGAAGTGTGACGAAGAACTTCCAATGTGCCAGGAATGTCAACGACTGGGGCTTCCCAACTGCCGACCGAGAAATGAGCTAGTCCCGCGAGCCATCAGTCCTGTTCTTCGGGTTCGGGAGTCGCTAGAGCCAGGCGACGCACATATTCCTGAAGCGGATTCTGTCATGTCGCTGAATCAAAGAGTCAAGAACAACCACGACTTCAACGTGAGTGAATATCTCAGCCAGGTCGCCCAGCTACCCGAGGGTAGCTTGGTTGGAATTACCCGGCGTGGAGACTTGAGCGAAAGTAGCGCACTTGAATCACAAACTCGTGCCGTCCGCCGTACGGTGGAAGAGCAATCGACCATAAACAGTCTCTCATTGTGTGAAACAATCCACATATCCCAGGCAAAGATGACAACTTTCGACCCCACCGAGCAACATTTGTTGCTTCATTATGTACAACATGTCTCTCGAGCATTGGTTGTTGTCAACGACGATGAAAATCCTTTTCTAAGGGATGTTCTTCCGCTTGCGATGGAGGTCAAGTCAGTTCGACACGCCCTGCTGGCTTTGTCTGCTTGCCATTTGTGCAAGGCATATCCCAGATTTGAAGACACGTTGCTTCGCCAACATAGCTTGTCGTTGCATTTTCTGAAACTAGATGTGCAATCGGAAAAGAAAATGGCTCACACCCTGGTCGCATCTCTTTTGCTATGTCTCTTCGGGGTAGGTGTTTCTGCCTGTTCCTTTCAATCCAAAGGCTCTTGCTCGGCTAATAAACAAGTATAGATTTGCCACGGAAAATCTTCGAAATGGATTCTTCACCTTTACGGCGCAAAGGCTTTGGTTGATTCGCACATGCAGGCGGCTTTTGAGCCCCCGCCATTGCAGTCCGCTATTGACCTTTACGACTTGATATGTTGTAAAACAAGAATTACTTGCAACAAGGTTCCTATGGCGCGAGACAAATTTCTATCGCCGACTTGTGCCGGAGAGTCTCATAACATCCATCCTTTATTCGGTGTAGCAAGAGATTTATACCAGGCGCTGGAGTCCATTAACCAGCTTGTTTCAGAGAAAGCGACTAAAGACATAGTCAGACCAGCTGATGCGTTTCTTTCGATGAAGGCCCGAAATATTCAGAAATCTCTGAATGAGTGGGTTGCGCCAACGCAAGTCGACCACTCGAGCCCCCAACTCATTCGTGACAGCATCAAAGCAGCCGAAGCCCTCCGGTGGACCGCGATAATCCGCTTACATCAAGTGATGGGCTGGCCATCCAGTTATCAAGCCAACCAGCAATGCTTTGTACAAAATATCCTCACCGCCATTTCTCATATACCACCTGGATCCCCTGTGAATGGACAATTGTTGCTGCCGCTGTTCATAGCGGGAGTGACTGCAACGAGAAAGACACAGCGGCTTCAAATAGATTATCGAATCAGTCTCCTAGAGAGTAACATCAGCATGGGAAACATAGCTGGTGCCCATCAGGTTCTGGATTTGGTTTGGAAGCACGGCTATGAAAATAAATTAAACTGGGAGGTCTTTCTCCAGAGAGACCACCCTTGTGTGGTGCTGTACTAAGAAGGCTTCGGTAGCCACACAAGACTGAGAGACCTGTGTGGATTGAACGTTCTAAGCTCTAATAATAGTCCAATCTCGAGGAACTGGCAAAAGATATCGGATAGGGTGTTCCGTATACGTCGTGGAATAGTGTTCACCGCGAAACCACCCATGTCCCTCTTAACCCCCCCCCCCCCCCCCGGGCGAGAGATTGAAGGACCACAGTAAATGTGTAGAATTTTCCGTGGTCCGTGTCGAAGTTGCTAACTCGAAGAGGCACAGGAACAGAACCTTGCTGTTCCTCTTGACCTTTATGAAGGTGAATGGCTTTTAAACCCAAAGAAGCCTAGACGAAGCCCTTTGAAGCAGTCATCGCATTCGCAATAACACCGGATGGGCTGACCATCAGGAGACGACATTTGATGTAAACCAGCAACAAAACCTAAAAAGAGAACTGAAAGCTCAGCTGAAAGCTCCACTGAAAACCTTCCGACCCGTAGCCAATCCAAAGCGGGCCTAAGGGAATCCAGAGGGTCCAACCTCTGCTGCTGTTGTTAGTCTTCATTTTCCCGCTCGTGTTCCCACCCTCAGTTTCATCCTCGCTCGTAGCGAGCATGCCCCATACGAAAAGCCCGAAACACAACGCAACGAATGCTGCTACAAATATCTTGAATTGCCGATCTGATTTCTCCGCGTCCCTCCTCAAATCTTCGAACGCCTTAGAATGAGTAGAGCGCGATGGTGCGGTGTGCTCAAGACCCGGACGGAACCCGCCGCGGCGCATGGAGTCTGACCAGAGACCGCCGCCGTATGTAGTGCCAATGCCGCTAGTCCCGCCGTACATGATACTTGATCCTATGTCATGATGTGGAAATCCAACTAGACCATGTGGTGGGTTGGGACGATCCGATTGATGCGCCGATGCGGGAACCCCTAGTGAACGTGCTTGAAGTGCTAGTTTCGTAGGTCGTTGACGTTGTGAACGACCGTTCTGGGGTTCTGTGGGGCCGATTGTGGCCGATGTTATCCTTCCGATTGTCATCAGAGTCCATTGGGCGCTCTTTTTTTGGGGGTTTGAAGTGAGCTTCAGATATTATTGTTCCTTAGAAGAGAAATGTCAGCGGGAATACCTTGACTGAAGTGGGAGAGCACCCAACTGATAATTGTATTCTCGCTTCAGTTGTGGCTTAGTATCCCTCCCTAGACAAGCGACGATTCGTATGGCAGCTGACCTCGGAATTGCTTCGCTCCAAAGGTTGGGGGGCATAGGGCACAACAGCCACTCCTCCTACAAGCCAAAGTGGCGCTAATCCAGACTAAACAAAGCCTGGGATTTCACCGATACATAGCACAGACCCCCGGGAAATTAGAATCGAACACAATAATCACTCTCTCATTGGATCCTTCAAACACTATGCTATACGGTATCGCGTTGGCCTGTCAGAAGACATTAAGACGATGAGGCTCGTTTTTCACTTCTCTGTATCTCGCCCCCTACTGATGGGCAGACGCCTCTACGTGCTGCTGCGGACGAGTATTCAGGCAGGGATCTGGCCTGCCGCTTGAAGAAACCAAGATCTTGCATCATTTATAGGTTCGCTTGTTGCATAAGGTTTTGAGGCGATACCTGTTGAACCCGTATCTCAGCTGATGGTTATGTGCAGACGCCAAGATAACGCTTGGTCTTCCACTTGGAGCGCGCCAAGGAGAGCGGGCTCCGGACCATCTCACGGTCGAGGCACGCCGGTATGTCCAGCAAAGGGCGAACGAAGCATTGCAGGGCATGAACAGTATTCGTTGAAGGCGCGCAAGATATACAACCTGGACGTGACTGGGGTTGCACAGCAGAACTTCGGGGAGGAAAGGTGAGCTGGGGGCCGTGCGTTGTTGATTTAATTGGTACATACCGTAGACGAATCGGATGGCATCCGTGGTGGAGCCGCTCGCATACAACTACATCCAGGCACCAGGGTGTATGGGGGCGGACCTCGTGTTCGTACGCGTAGCTGTTTGCCCGTACTAAATGAAAGTGGAGAGCTAGGAATTGGTGCCTGATGAATAGGGCATGAAAACATGGTACTCTGAGCGCCGGAAACAGGTGCTAGGAGGTAGAACTGAATTCGAAAAGTATTGTAAAAGTTAAAACTATCAAATACCATCCGCATCTGATTTCACAGGGCGAATAACGTGTTGGATAAAAGATCGAATCGACCAAAGTTCATCATCTTCCCGAAGATATTCCGCAGATCGCTCATGTTTGAACAACCTCTCTGGCTGCGCTGCTGTTAACAATGTATCCTAGGTAAACAAGAAATATGATGCGCAAATAACGTACCTAGGCAACCTTAAGTATATTTGTAGCATAAGCCTTTGCTGCAGAAATCCGCTCCCGGTCGGCAGCACTGCTTCTTGCAACAAATATTATGCCGACAGCAGTGACCATCACAGAGCCATGGAAATTTACGCGGGCAGAATAAACCCTGTTCAGCCAACACATTGAATTCGTCCTCATGTCCAAAAGGAGTGAGCTCAGGCAACTGCGTGGCCTTTTGGACCGGGAGAGGATCGGCAAGGGCTCCGACGACGAGGGAGGAGAATAAAAGGACAATGGCGGCGAGCTTCATATTGTTGTATGAGTAGAGTTTACCTGTGAATTAAGAGCTCTTCCAAATGAGGGAAATAGATAGATCAGGGAAAGCCAGTACAACAGGAGAAGCTCATGCTGGAGGAAAGAGAACGTCCTGTTTATAAACGATTTCCCAACACACTAAATCACACGGTGCTCGATTTCAACTCTTGGGCTGACGCCAAGACCATCATCACTTGAATACGAAGACCTACTTTATAGCATCCAATGGGCCTCGCTATCGTTCACTACTTCGCCAAGCCTAGACAGAGTAAACGAGACCGATGGTCGATCACTACCATCCTTGCACATGCTGCACCCGGCCCGCCAGTAGATCGCAGCCTCACTGTTGCTCTGTTCGTATAACTATGAACGCCCAATACGAGCTGGGAAGCGAAGTCCCACTTGCTTTCTACTAACTAACGTATCTTCGATGACTTTTTTGAATAGAATTTTCTGTGATCTCTGGCCTTAAAGAAGATCCAACTTTAGCTGCGCAGAGAAAGACATCCAGAGATTCCCATGCAGCCCTTTCTCGTAGGGTGAAAAAAATTTCATGCACGGACTTATCACAATGTTAGCTACTATCACTGACCATCTGTGTAGAACGAGTTGCACAAAGGATTTTCGGGGTGGTTTCCCCGCTTTCTGCAGCCTGGGCTGTCTGTATGAAAAGATTGTGTTGCTACTCCATGGTTCAAAATTTTCCTTGAATCTGAATTCATGACGGTTTACTCTTGATTTTGTATGCTACATTGCTCTTGTAGGAGGAATTAATTGCTCTGGGAGTGAAATAAAGATTTTTATTCAAAGTGCCGATTTCGTCCTCAACGGGTCAGAAAACTTCAAAGCCATCATAGGCAGAACCATTGTCGCTTCACATTGTACCATCTTTTTGAGTCTTTTTATAACATTTTCGAACTTTGTCGAAACCCGTAGCGCTCGCAGATTTCATGAGGAAATCACCGAGAGAAACTAATTGTAGTAAGTTTCTTTTTGAACTGAAATTAGTAAAGATCATCAAATTAGCGGTACATCACATCTTCATGGAGAGCTTTAATTGCTTGCATTTTGCGCTAACTAGGAGGACTGATTGGTCTGCATAGAATATTGGGACTTGACAGTGCTTCGTTCATGTCCTCCACGGTGTTTGGGTCTGTGTCAATAAACCCATAGAGTGCCGACGAACTGGACTCACTCTTCGTCATCATCCATCTCTAGTAGTTGAGAGAAGACGGCCATGTCAACGACCTGCTTGAGCTTGGCCTTGAGTTCGTCGTCCGCCAGTTATTAAAACCATCGAGGCGATGCTTCATGGCCTGTCGGAGACAGATAATCTAGTCTACGTCAACCGACGCTATAAATTCATGTAAAAGCAAATATTCTTGACACCCTCTTTTTTGTTCTTTTCATCGTAGGTTAATATGGGGCTTAAAATTGGTTGACTAGCTACCATGTTCGCTAATAATAATGTGGGAACTAACTTTCCAAGTCGCATAAGTCCATAGTTTGAGTGAACACGTTGAGCTCACCTGCACAGAGAAGTCCCTTGGTCTGGCCTGCTGTTTTCATGTAAAGTTTTTCTCCTAGTGAATAGACTCAGGAGAGTCAGTGCCTATAGTCATTCCAAAATACCTCTTACGCGCCGGCATTGAACGGTTTGAAGGAGGTGAGGCTTTCTGCGCCGGTACATTACTGATGATCGTAGGCTTCGTGAGTGGAGTTGAAATCTCGCGGACTGCCTGGATGTATTTCCCGCCCATGTACGGATGTCCTCCCTGCCACCCACACAATGACTCTTCTGCTCCTTGAGGGGGAGTCTCAGTATAAGAATGGTAGCGAGCGCGACTATTGTCTATTCAAATGCCTCAGAGGAATGTCTAGTTTTAAAATCCGATATCACATCTCATTTCCTTGCTTATTATATTTCTAATAATCTTCAGTTATCATGTTAGCAAAAGATCGAAAGCTAGACCAATAGTAGTCTATATACTAATCATTATATTACAACGTCTTATATACAAGGGGAAATACTAGTCTAAGAATGGTGGGGGAGATTTGATAGAAACTGATCCGAACTATTGATTCGCTAAGTCCATGTTTTGTTCGCTACCACCCCTTCCTAATGCAATGCGCCTAGATCAGAAAGCGGCATATAGCCTCAAGATTGAGTATCTATAACGCGGCTTATAGTCAACCTATGGCATGTTTCGAGGTCTCCTCGGCTAAGCTGTTCTTTGCTCTTTGTCAGTTGAATCCTGGTTCTGTCCACGTGATAGACGCAGAGAAGATGAGAGAGAGCTTCATTGGGTACTCATTGGCGGCTTGTGAGATGCTAACGATGCTAATTGGCGCTAAACCCACTTACTACTCTGGAGCCTGCATTAGTTAAGGCATGTTGGGACTGAATCATTGATCTGCGATGCGGCACATTTAGGGTGCAATGCCCCTCTCCCTGGGTCCAGCGTTATCTCTTTCTCTCAAATTCACATCTGCGATTATCCAGGATGTCCCCGAAATTTCCCTCTCTCTTGACTACTCGATGGTCTAGTTTCTGACCTATCGCTGCAGTACCCAGTCTATAACCCCGCAACCGGTCAAATAATTACCACCGTTCAAGCCGGCAACGAGGCCAGTGCCCATGGAGCAGTGCAAGCTGCACAAGCTGCCTTTGAAAGTGACTGGCGCTGGCGCAGCCCTACGGAGCGAAGTACGCTGCTCTTCGCATGTGCCGACGCTCTGAGCTCTCACAAGGAGGAACTTGCCGAGATTCTATGCCTGGAGAACGGCAAACCCTGCATCGACGCACTCCAATTTGACGTGACCTTCCTTATCGGCGTCTTTAAATACTTCGCCAGTCTAGTCGACAAACTACCCGGCGAGCACTATGATCAAGGACCCACCTGCGCGTCCGTATACTACGAGCCGCTCGGCGTTTGTGCGGGCATCGTTCCCTTCAACTGGCCGCCGATCCACACCGGCGGCAAAACGGCGCCGGCTCTGACTGCTGGGAATACCCTTGTCTTGAAGCCAGCAGAGCAGGCACCTCTGACATTGATGCGTATTGTCGATATCATCTCCGAAGTCCTGCCCAAAGATGTCGTGCAGGTCGTACCAGGTCTGGGCACTGCCGTACCTCAGGCCCGTATCAACCACCCTCTTGTCAAGATGGTCTCCTTTACAGGGAGCTCGCCTGCGGGTGCCAAGGTAGCAGAGGCAGCAGGCAAAGGCATTAAGCCCTTAGTTCTTGAGCCCGGAGGCAAAAACGCCTTCGTCGTCTTTGACGATGTCGATCTCGACAAAGTCGTGCCCATGGCGCTGGAAGGTGCATTTTTGAACAAAGGAGAAGCATGCACGGCTTCCTCGCGATTCCTTGTTCAGCGCAGAGCCTACGATGAGTTTTGCTCGCGCCTTGCTGCCGCAGTGAGGAAAGTGAAGTGCGGCAATGGCATGGATCCCTCAGCGCATGTCGGGCCGGTGGTTTCCAAGGAGCAGAAAGAACGTGTCGAGGGATACATTAAACTTGCCCAAGACAGCTCACAGGTCCACATCGCTCTCAGTCAGAGCTTCCAGCCGATCCCAACTGCAGGAATGGGTACTTTGTTCCCCCGACGCTGATCACGGATGTCTCACGAGGCCACGTTCTGGTCAAGGACGAGATCTTCGGTCCGGTGGCAACTGTGACGCCATTTGATACGGAAGAAGAGGCAGTTTCCATCGTCAACGAGTCGGAATATGGATTGACATGCGCTATCTTCAGTAAAGACCACGAGACATGTCTTCGGGTCTCCCGAAAAGTTGATGTTGGTATGGTTTTTATCAACAACTACTATAGAAACGAGTTGGGTCAACCATTTGGAGGAACCAAGAGCACAGGATTTGGCCGAGAACACTGCATCGAGACCCTGAGATCGTGGGCGCAGCCGAAGGTCGTCAAGCAGCCTTTGGGACTAGGTTCCCTGCCTGGTTGGAGGGCACTCAAGGATGTGTTCTAGATTGAGTAGAACATCTGAATTTAAATGTGCGATATGCAGCAAAGAGGAAAGAAAACACTTTATAGCAGACAGTGGATCAAGAGAGAAAAAGCAGAAAAGAGAGAAAATATACTTGGGGATCATGTGACACAATTATTCCTGCCCGCGGGTGCCAGAACCGTTCGAACAGAACCGACCTAGGAGGTTATTGGGGATGAGAAAACCATATCTCCGGTCGGATGCACTGCCCTCCCGGAACATCAACCTTTGCAGCCTGCTCCATGCATTTGAGGGAGCTCAAGTCAACAACATTTCCTGACATTCCACGGCTTGGCCTGTGAGCGGACGGACCAACATGACAAAACCGAAGGCCGTACGAGATGCCGACAAGCTCTCAGGAAAGCCACTCAGAGAAACGGTCGAGCCTTCTTCATCGGTTTTGGACATTGACAGCGAGGGTTGGCTCACCTCGAGAGACCTCCGGGAGGATGGATTATCCTTCTCGCCAGAGAGGGTGCGTCAAATGTCAATCTATCTCATTGCCAACCCAAACATGAGCTCTTCTTTCCTATTTCGAGCAGATATCCTTTTTGATAGCCAAGGGCTGCTCCAAACACCACAGCAAAAAGAGCAAGCACTCACCGCTTCAGGGTGCAAGATCGAATCAACAAATCAAGAAGGAGCCGTGCCAGCACTGGCAATCAAGATCGGAGGGTTTCGTTTGACAAGGAGTATCATTAGAAAACTCATCCCTCGCAAACCCGAAATTGACCGACCATTGGAACAAACCTGCCACTTCTACCAATCAACAACCTCTTCTGTGGTCCCTTCCGATGAGAACTCACAGCGCAAACGATTCCTTGTCATGTACCTTCCCCACATTACATCCGAGCAGGATATACCGTTCTACCACCCAAAACTCCGAGCTGTTGCCTTCCTATATGACTTTCAACCAGACCTCGACAATGGCCCAGGAACGGGAACAATGTCTGTTCATTTTTTGCCATTCAGCGATGACATACCAACCCGCTTGGAACGTACATTACACATTCTACTCAGTACGAATATCCGCCTTGCGAAACACGCCGGGTCTGCCGCGGCCGTTGATGGAAGCAACCATAACCCGACTAGGGATAATATCATTCCGCGGCATATCGTCCAGAACACATACTCACGCCTCAAAACCATGTACGCATCGGACTTGTGTGAGCGCTGGGTTGAGAACACAGAACCAAGCAAGCATGTCTTTGAGGATCTGCTAATCACGTCATTTCTTATCGAACTTTGGAGGGGCATGTATGGTGTCGCTCCTGCAGTGGAAAGCGGTCAGACCCAGAACAATTCTTCTTCTTTCCCCGGGTTTGTGGACGTGGCATGTGGCAACGGTGTGCTTGTGTACGTGTTGCTTATGGAGGGATATACAGGCTGGGGATTTGACGCCCGTCGTCGCAAAACCTGGAAGATCTTTCCGGATTGGGTGCAGGAGCGATTGAAAGAGGCGATCTATATCCCCAAACCTTTTTTAGGTGCAGTGGCCGATCAAGACGTCGGCGCGACGATCCACAGCGGAGATTTCGCCAAAGATACCTTCATCATCTCCAACCATGCCGACGAACTCACCATATGGACTCCACTTATGGCTGCCCACGCCTGTCCTGAATCACCACTACCATTTCTGTCTATTCCATGCTGCTCGCACGCACTATCTGGGGCAAGGTTTCGCTACCCTCCACCGCAAGGGAAGAAACAGAAGCCATCAAAGGAAAGCAAAAACAATACACTCGCTGGAGAAGACGACGCGGCGGAAGAGTATGTAGAGCAGAATCCACAACCTTCCTCTGGAGATCTGAAGGCGCTTCGAGCCGTCAAGGACAAAGAGCAGACTGATCTTGCAATGCTCAGTTCGCAGTACCACTCGCTTACTGCAAAGACCATGCATGTGGCTGAGGAGATTGGGTACGAAGTTGAAAAGACTATGTTGCGTATCCCCAGCACAAGGAATATGGGCGTTATTGGAGGACGACAGCGGGTTACGAAGGAGTGGAATAATAAGTCGACTGGGAAGTCTTCCGAAACGACTGCGGACAGCAAACGTGATGAAGAGACAGTCTTACAGAAGATTAGAGAGGTTGTTGAGCGGGAATGCGCTAAAGATAGTGGTATCGATGCCGCCGCTCGAATCTGGGCTGAGCGCGCCAATGGTCTGCACAAGGGTCAAGGAAAGGGGAATCAACCGCATTATTGAAATTAAAAGAAAAGCCACCATTCGAATCCGGTCGGTTATATTGTGGACAGCCACAGTATTGGGTTATTTCGGCACAATTGTCGGGGAATTCAATGTCAACTCGGTTAAAGTGGAAGAGATCGACAACTGTGAATATCCGACATTCCGCCGCGTCAACAAACAACATCCAAGGCCCGGCAAAATGGCTTCATGTACCCCGCTTCGTCCCCACGGGGGTTTATAAAGTGGCGTAGAGCACCTCAATCCCTGTTTAGTCGACCAAGTGCAATTCGAGTTGTTTTTGACAATGCGGACCTCATCACTGCTCGCGGCCGGGGCTATCCTCGGTCTCGCAAGCGCCCTCGACAATGGACTGGCTATTACGCCGCAGATGGGCTGGGTAAGTTATTCATTGACAAATACCTAATTAAGAGCTTGGACTAATTCCTCCTAGAATACATGGAACTCCTTCGCCTGCAGCATGAACGAGACCGTCATCCTTGAAGCAGCTGAACACATCGTCTCGCTCGGCTTCAAGGATCTAGGCTACGAGTACGTCGTTCTAGATGACTGCTGGTCTGCAGGCCGCAACGCAACGGGATACCTTGTGCCCGACCCACAGAAATTTCCGAATGGCATCGCCGATGTCGCGGACAAGATTCACGCCATGGGACTTAAGATCGGCATCTACTCCAGCGCAGGAACTATGACCTGCGCGCACTACTCAGGATCGCTGGGGCATGAAGAGAAGGATGCTGCTGTATGGGCGAGCTGGGGGGTATGTCGCTTGCACTCATTCTCTTCCTTCTTGGCCCTTTCTAATGCAGGATGCTGTGGCAGGTTGACTACCTCAAATACGACAACTGCTACAACCAAGGCGAGGAGGGAACACCTAAGCTCTCCTTTGACCGCTACAATGTCATGGGCAAGGCACTCAATGCCACAGGTAGATCAATTCTCTACTCGTTGTGCAACTGGGGCATCGACGGGCCCTGGAACTTTGCTACCACGATCGCCAACTCGTGGCGCACGAGCGGCGACCTGACAAACGTCTGGGACCGCGAGGATGTCAATTGCCCTTGCTCCGAGCTTGAGGGCCTCGACTGCAAGATGACTGGGTATCACTGTTCGATTATGAACGTGCTCAACAAGGCTGTTTATTACCAATCCAAGGCGTACTCCGGCGCATGGAATGATCTCGACATGCTTGGTAGGCATTGGTACTCCTGGGGCTTTAAGCCCTAAAATATAACTGAATCACCAACTAATGCATATGACAGTGGTCGGAAACGGCGGTCTAACCGACAACCAAGCAATCTCCCACTTCAGTCTCTGGGCAGCGCTGAAATCTCCTCTGCTCATGACAAACATCATGAGCCAGATTGACCCTGCCACGCTCTCGATCTTACAGAACACTGCCGTGCTTGCCGTCTCACAGGATCCACAGAAATCGAGCGCTGTTCGGGTCTGGCGGTACTACGTCAACGGCGGCGAGATCCAGATGTTCAGCGGTCCGCTGAGCGGCGGTGACCAAGTGGTTATCCTGCTGAACAGTAGTCCCATGCCGAGAGACATGAATGCCACGCTTACGGATATCTTCTGGGAGGATGGGGCCGAGGGCACGGCGAGCCAGGTGCAAAGTGCGTGGGAGGTGTATGATCTGTGGGCCGGACGGATGAGTAACGGCACCGCGGAGGGGATTATTCGGGGTGGAAGTAAGGCATCGAGGCCCATTGATATGGCCAAGCTTGGGGGTGCGAGTAAGGTTTACTCGCAGGTGCCGTTGCCGGCGACCAAGGCGTTGATGGGGGAGAAGGTTGGAATGGTGAAGGCTAGGGGCACGGTCAAGGCTCATGTGCAACCGTATGGTGTGGCCATGTTGCGGTTGAGGGAAGTGAAGACAAACGATGAGCTGTGATAAAGTCTAATTGGCAATGGTGTATATATCAACATGATAATCGGACTATGAAGTGAGTAGTGAAGCAAGAGTTGGAGGGTAGTATACATGATAATCCCAGGGGTAAAGGGGAGAGATGCTGTGCTGCGAAATTGTATAGAAATCTTGTCCGGCACCATTTCTATTCGTCAGAGACCCAAGATTGAACGCCACGCGAAATATAAAGGTTATAGTTGTGGAATGCGTGAGTAGATATCATTGAAGGAGACAGTCCATATGCCCTTCACTTTCTCTCCATTATGAGGCCACTCCTCCCTCCACCGCAGATGCAGGCGCTGGGCTAGGATCCGCATGTCGCTCGCGACCAGCGTCGTCCGTTTTCCTTCGAGATGACCTGCCGTCAGCATGGTACTGGTCCTGAGCGCCTGCGCCCTGCGTCCTCTTTGCAGCGGCAGCCGCCGTAGCTGCGGCTGTTGCCGAAGCCCTCCGCGAGGCAGCCATGGCCACCGCATTCTCTCTCAGCCGCCTCATGCGCTCCGAGCGGCCTTCACCCGGAAGACCGCCCCAAACCGGTTCGACCGAGTCAGCACGCCAGTTTGTGCGGCTGAGGGGAGTCAATGCAGCGCCCCCCGAACCGGACTCCCCCCACATTCGCACACGCTGGAGCTTGCGTAGCTTCGCCAGTCCGTAAACGCATACGATGGCGGTGAGGGCGAAGCAGCCGACAGAGACGCCGCCGAAGCCGAAGTCAGACTCTTCGATGAAGTTCTTCAAGTTCATGCCGTAAAGGGCAGAGAATAAAGTTCCGGTAGCGAGTCCCAGAGTCCCAATGCTGAATTTGAGGTCAAGCAGCATTAGGGAGTTGCGGTTGGCGTCGAGAATTGCCTTCACACTGTGGCAGCTATTAGAATTCGCCCCGGCCTGATGGCATGAAATGACTTACACTTCTTCCGTGTTGCGGATACCAGTCACCAGGTTACCGCTAGACTGGACGATTTCATCGCACACCTTGTGATACGATTCCAGCAACATCTCGACTTCCTGATGGTCGTCCTCACTTCGTTCTTTTCCAAGTGCGCGTTCGCTGAGGTACATCGATGCCAGATCATCATCCGCCTCGAGCAAGTCATCAATGGCGTCACGAACCAGCCTCGCTTTCTGCTCGAACGTGCCCAGTTTCTTAGAGTAGATCAACAGTTGCCGCAGCTTGTCGCGGTCAATGTCCTCCTCCAGAGCTCGAAGGACACGCACGACAGGCTCTCTCACGCCATTGAATTCTTCTTCTAAACCGCTGGTGACGCTGACCAAAACTGCTTCCAGTGCACGGAGCTCGTACGGCAGAGCCGCGCCGGGCTGTGCGCCTTGGGGTTGTTTCTGGCGCAGTTTCCCTTCCAAATCGTAGATGAACAGAGACTGCATATAAGAGTCCGTTGAGCCATAGGCGTCGAAAACAAGCACCCGGTCCGCCTTGATCAATACCCGGAGATGTAGAAGGTTGATTAGAATAGCGCTTGGTCGGACCAGGATATGTGGCAGAGTCGACGAGTCGATTTTGCGGAGATCACGGGGGAGGAGGCCGTACTGGTCAAGGTAGATTTCGTTAGCATCTAGCTTCCAAACAGCGACCGTCCAATACCAACCTTGGCAATTAGCTCTAACTTCCGGAACTCTCCATTTATGAGCGTCACATTCCCATTGATATCAAACTCCGTGCACCGAATCCGCATCTCATTCGAAGCCTTCGCCGCGAGAGAGCGACCGACATTGAAGATTCCATCTGTCCCATCCTCCACAAACGGCGGTCCCGGACTGCGAGTGTTCTTGTGCTCAGCAGTCTTATCTCGCCTGAGATCCCACAGTCTTCGCAGTAGGGGGCGGGTTTTGGTGGAGGCGTGTCGGGGGAGCAGAGATTGGCCCGGAGCGCGCAACGGCAGTGTACCGGCAGAAATTGGTCGCCAGCTTGTGCGATTCAATGAATTCGACGACAAGCGACTTTGCGAAATGGTGAGACCTGCCCAGCTAGAGGATTTCCGAGATGGCCACGCCGCAAGCACTGGATCATCGGAGAGCCGCGACTTCGCAGGACGGGCGCATGTTGACGAGGCCGAGAAACCAGATTGCGATCGGAGAAACCGCAGAAGCGACGCGGAAGGCACCGATGGTCTCGGCGAGGACAGCATGGCTGTCTCTGGAATCCAGGCGGTCCGCAGCTTGTCTGGCAAACCAAACAAGCAATGACTGATCTTAGTTGCCGCTGAGCGCTTTTTCTGCCGGATGATTGTTGATCCGGATCAACAACTATAGTTGCAAAATGAACGACATTTTATCGTTACTACTTCTAGACTGGGTTTCTACTGATGAAGAATAGAAAAAGAAATGTCCATCCAACTTCTACCATTGGAAACTATATACTGAAAACGATCCGACGCCCCTGTCGTCTACGAACTTTTGGGCAAAACGCTGGATCACGAAGCACCGCCTGCACAACAAGACAAGAGGTATCTTGAACATGATTCTCGCACAGCTTTACCAATCATCATCGTCGTCCTTCTCATCATCTATAACAAGCAGTCAGCAACTTGACCATAAAGCAAAACGCAAAAGAAAATACATACCGCTTCCGCTAACCCTCTGCTTTCTCTGTTTCAGGGCATCCTGCAGCGCACCAGCCAGGCCACCTTGTGGACCGCTTGGAGTGCTGGACGCTGCTCCAGCTGACTCCGCAGCACCTCCTGGTACCATAGCAGCGCTCCGGTCTTTCTTCTCGGAGGCTTTGACCTTACGCAATCCACCACCGCCGGAGCCTCCAGATGCTCTGATAGAGGCCAGAAGATCGTCCCGTCCACCACTGGACTTCGGTAAAGGCGGAGCTGCTCCGCCAGCTGGGGGCGGTGGCGGAGGGGCACCACTTCCACCAGGCGGCGGAGGAGGTGGAGGCACAGCCCCAGCACCCGGGGCAGGAGGAGGGGGGGGAGGAGGTGCTGCAGGTCCGCTGCGTCCAGGTGGCGGCGGCGGTGGAGGAATAGCAGCGCCTCCTGGGGGTGGTGGTGGAGGTGCTGCAGGTCCTCTGGGTGGAGGGGGCGGTGCTGAAGGAGGAGCAGCAGCTGGTGCAGAAGGGGGAGGCGCAGCCGGGAAGGCGGGCGGAGGAGGTACAGGTCGCGCAGCCGGTGCTGGGGGCGGCGGAGGCGGCAGAGGCGGCGAAGCAGGACCTCGAGCAGGTGGAGGCGGCGGAGGTCCAGATGGAGTGCCTGTGGGAATCTTGGGAGGCAATTGGGGTGGGTGTGATGCCGGAGCCGGAGCTGGAGCGCGCGGTGGTGGAGGAGGAGGACCCGGAGGAGCTGGGCTGCGGCTGGGGGGCGCTGGTGGTGCTGAAACCTTACGATCACCCGTAAAAGGTGGTGGGACTCCGAATCGGGGTGCGCTATCATCCACAGGGGACTTCGGCGGCCGTGGTGGCGGTGGAGGACCATTGGCTCCAGAATTGGCTCGCAAACGTTTTGGAAGAGCGGGGCCCGGAGCTTCAACAAACTTGCCAGCATCTGCAAAAGGAGGAGGTGCGTTGAATCTGCGAGCTGGGGGGGATGGTTCCCGAGGAGGTGGAGGCGGGGAGGCCGGCTCCTCTGGCGCCTCAGTACGGGCTTTCCGTGACGGGGGCGGCGGTGGAGGGCCACGCCGGCTTGAAGTGCTGGCTCCTGTGGGTTGAGGGCTGATGGCATTTGCTTTTGGAGCAGCTGGGGGAGGCGGTGGTGGTGCCCTGCCAGTGGCTGATGGTTCGGCCGCTGCACTCTGCTTCTGATCGATCCATGCTTTGATAAAGTCTGAATTCTCCGCAATTTGGTCTTCTGTGATCCCCATCTGCTTGAGTTCGTCTAGTAGTCCAGCCCACTCTGGATCGCTCGTGTCAAATGGCAGGTCACCCTTGGCCGCTGGGGCAGCCGGAGGCAGGCTTGGTGGCGGAGGAGCGACTTGTATTGACGGTGCTGGCGCGGCAGGGGCGGGGGGTGCGGTGCTCGCAGTCGAATGTCCGTGTCCGCGATGCAGCAAGCTGCCGAACAGGGATCGGCCGACTTTCCCGTTGGGAACAGGCGCCGGACCCTGCCCCCGAGAGGAGGCAAACGGGGTGTGTTTGGTCTCTTTGCTCGCTTTATCTTCGCGGTCATGCACCTTCTTGATGAAGGTCTTCGCCTCCTTCTCGTCGGCGAAAGACAGGCCAGCGGGGCATTGTTCGAGCTCGAACGTGTGAAAGAATGTACGGTCTTGATTGTAAGAGAAGTTATCAAAGATCTCCTGATCCCAAATCACTCCCCTTGCGGCGGGCTACGTCAAGATCATCAATCATGTCAGCGGGCTCGGTGCTTATCTCTCGCCAAGTAGAAGAGGCCACCACTTACCGAGATATCGACCACCTTCAGCCAAAATGTCCGTCCCACGAGATCATTGCAGAGTACCGCCGCCCCTTGGATTCCAGTGTATGTCCATCGTTGGTTATCCGGGTAAGCGACATAGAGTCGCGCGACAGCTACAGCGAGGATCTTGTTGGCTGGTTTGGGGACATTTCGCTTGACGGTTTCCTTGTCAGCATCGGTGAGGATGGACGGCATGGCGAATCAACAGGAGAACCAGGCGTAGAGGAAAGGAGAGGTGGAAATGGGCGTCTGGAGGGTGCTAGGTTGATAGAGGGCGCATTGCAGACGGGCGGCAGCGCTCGGACGAAGGATGGGGAAACGCCCTTGGCACACCGGCTGACAGGAAAACGGCAGTCCGGGCTTCGCTCCGACGGTGAGTGGAGCTTTGTGGGGGAAGATGTGGTGGGAGGGTGAAAGGTGGTGGGTGAAGAGAGGAATTGGAGTGCCTTGCGGAGAGGATGAACTAGTTGGCCTGGGGGCGAAGCGGTGGGGGATGCGGTACGAGACAGTGACTTAGGCGTGGCGTGGAACTCTATGGGGCACGTGGTATCTTAAAAGTACCATGCAAGAATCGATTTAAAACGCAAGACAAAATAGTTCGTCAGCTCTTCATGAATATATAGGAATAGGTGTTAGGCACCGGTGTCTTCAAAGTACTTTTCTATCATTCTGCCTGGAGCGTTGACCACGGAACAGCCGCTTTCTGCCGACGTCATCCCGTTCACAGTCTATAAACACATTCTATACACAACATTTCTGTTCAGTTCTCATTCTTGGAATCATCCAGTACACCAGCTTTCGTGGCCTCCTCGATAATTAGATTTGCATGATCTTCACTTCTTGGCGTGACGTTGACTGGGAACGGCTCATTTTGTCCTATGATGATTGAGACGCTATGAATCAAAGGCCCCGTACTATACAATACTAGCTTAGCATCTCGACCAACAGAGACCCAACTTACCGCGACATAATCATAGCAAAAGGCTTCTAAAGCCTTAAAATCTTTAGGCTCTCCGTAGTTATAGGTTTATACCCTCAAGCTACGGTTAAAAAGCGGCGGGAGTCGTCGCCACTCTCAACTCATCTAGGTATAATCTTATAGAGCTCACTTTGAACATTAGAGGTAATAGCGATGCTAGAAGTGAAATTTCTAGAATTACCTCATTTGAATCTTTCTATTTTCCATAGTATATCTAGGCGCGTAAATACAACCCCTAGAACAATTTGCATTTGTGCTGAGGTGGCGTCAAAGAAGGTCGAAAATGTCCACTTCGGCACAGCCCGTCAGCACTCGCACCTGCCCAATCTGACTACACACTCACTCTTACCCGCCCGCCCTCTCCCTCGTAACAAGCACGGCAACTCTACTAGTTTAGATGGAAGCAGGTAATCCTCGCGCCCTTTACCTATATAAATGGATAACTAGCCTTTCTTTCCTTTATGTACAAGCATCTCTTGACCTCCTGACAGATGCCTATTCTTGTATTAAAACCTTTTCTTGCTTTTTCTCTATTATTTACTGCTTAGGACGCAGAGTAATCCGTACTCTTTTTAATACTGCCTGTTATCTTCGACTCATCCTCTTATTATGTTATCGTGTTTATACTTAAACTAGAGATATAGAGCATTGACTATGTAACTGGTTTTGTTTAAATTTGTAGGTGGTAACTAACCAAGAAGAGAGGCTAGCCTCGTTTGAATTAAGCTATAGTAGCCAAATATCTTGGAAGACTATGCTGATGGTAAATTTATATAAATATACAAAATCAACATAAGAGAACTGATCTAATTAGCGAACAATCATACTGACGATATTAATTGAAAAGGAGAACACGAATATCAACATCAGTATAAGAACAGTGATACATGACGCAACAAATTCCGAACATATGAAAATACAACGATAGTGGCACTAAGCACGTTGACAAAAAAAGTACCCCATGAATATTAACCTTACCATGCCATGGACCTTCCCACCAGGACCTTTTGATAGGTCCTTCATGTTTAACGTCTGCCTCGACGTTCCATTTGTTTTCCCCAGGTGTCTAACTTCTGACCTAGATAAGCACCATCGTCTCTGAAGTTTGCAGCGGATCTTCTCTGGCTATTTGCTTGAGTAATGTGCCTTCTAATTGCTTCACGACTCTCGTATGCCTGAGGGTACTTGTGATCAAAGCCGGTGCGAGATTGCGCGGCTCTGTAAAGTCAAGTTAATTTTGGCTGTTGATGATCTCTGGGGAGTATTTTCTCTCACATGTTTGCCATATCACGGCCCTCCCTTGCAAGATTCTTCCCCTTTATAAGGCTGTCACGATGATAGTCGTGGGGGGAGGTTTTTCTCCCTACTGGGGTGTCCTTGTAACGGCGTACATCCTCTGCTATGCCACCGTGGCCATCTGAGGGGCGTTTATAGGCATCATAGTCGGCTTTTGTGCGGGCCGTGTACGGTTTTGGACGTTTCTTGTAAGGATCGCTGTATTCGTGTTCCAATCTAGACTCGTGATAGGAATGGGCTAGGCCATAAGTGTCTGGGCGGACAGCTACGGAGTTCAATGGTTTAGACGGATCCCAAACTTCTGTCGAGCCCCGGGTATTCCAATACTGTTCCTGGGCCGCGGCATTCACAAACTGCCGGCCATGATATGGCTCTCGTGGAGGTGATGCGTAAATACGCCCGGGCCGCCGGGTTTCATACTTGGGCGCAGAGGACGAATAGGTTTGACGTGAGGACATTGTTGGGGCAAGAAAAGTACTCTGTAGAAATAGTATATAGAAGAATAGGATGTCTGGAGCCGAAGGAATAGAAGGTTCACACAAGTTTGAGCTACAAGGACATATAAGGACTATAGAGGATAATATATAGGCCTCTCATGAGCTGTCGTGGACTGCGGCCTTCTATTAGCTGCAAAAATGAAACGACTACTGCATGAACTTTTGAGCGAGACGCCCTGTTGAAGTCTGGTGTTTGATGCTGGTAAGATGTTGTGGTGGTTGTTGAGTGGGAAGAAGAGAGCACTGGATCGTTTCAAGGGACAAGTGGTCTACATGCATCTTGTGCGGCAGTATCTAGACAGATACTCCTGTGACCGTTGTATCGCCTCGATGAAGACGGTCTAGATGTTAACACTTTGCTTACCCACACAAGAAGACCAAGATGAAACTTAATTAGCGCCGGGCTGTTGTTAGGATATCCTAAATATGGAGGGTTTGAGAACTCGGTAGCAATCTAAAAGAAGGCAGCAGAATGCAAAGTCTGCGGCTAAAGATACTCTAACCTGAAGGTGAGTTTCAGTTAGGTAGGCAAGGATGCCTGTAAGCGCCATTGAAAATATGAACTAATTTTAGGTGATATATACGTATTAAAATATACTTTAGCGCTCTGATTGCCCCTGAACGCCCCGAAACCCCTTAGATGCTCTGAACCTGTTAATCCTCTGTTAAAGGAGCTTTTGAGCGAGTCCGGCGGGCTGGCGATGTTGACGCTGCCCGCTTGCTGCATTTCCTGGGCGCTATGGAGGTATGTACAGTGGGGTGACAAAAGTACTTGCAACCCGATTGACCGCTATGGCCCACCGTAGGCGGGTAGTGTAAGTTATAACTGGGTGCGTCCCCCCCGATCGCCTAAGAACACCGCCCCCAGCGCCGTCAGTTACCGCCGCATTGATTGGATGATCGTATCCTGTTTGCACCCGCGCGGCTTTTTCATCACACGGCTAGCATTGACGAGTTTCAAGTTTAGATTGTTGAAACCCTTATGTAAGGGGTGACCAGACGCTTCAAGCCTCGCGAGGATTAACCTCTCTCCTTCGTCAACCCCCCATTTCCCCCTCCACACAGCAGTCGGCTGTAGCTTCATGAACCATGGTGAGACCGAAGCACCAGTTCGAATAATATTAAGCTAAAACTTCGTCCAGGCTGAACCGGCTCTTGAGGGTCTTCCCATCGAGCTCAAGATTCTCATTTTATTCCGAGTGCCGGACGGCGATACCCTCAAATCCCTCGTGCTTGCATCACCCGGATACCACCAGGCATACCTTGCGGTGAGACACGAACTACTTGAATGTCTTGTAAAACGGCAATATAGTGGACTTCTCGACCTGGCAGAAGCGCTCACTGCTGTGCGGTCTAAAGGCGTGCATTTTAGCCTCCAGATGGAAAATGTAATATCCTTGCTGGATAACTGGCGCCGCAGAAATGAGATTCATGAGCTCAGCCAATCCTCGTCGAATCGACTAGATGAGCCTAATGGCCTAGAGGAAATTATAAATCTGCTCCATTTTCACAAAATGCTGTGCTTTTTCCTCGAGGACTACTCAATCAACGCACCGAGGCCCCCGTGGATTCAGCCTATTCAATGGGAAAACAAGTGCCTGCCTTTACACTTGTCGCTTTCTGAAAAGCGTCGTTTCCTAAGGGCGATGTGTCGATTCCAAATTCTGAAAAACATCTTCGGGGACCCAGTCTATTGTATCGGATACGAAAGTTGTGATTCATGCGGGCATAGGAAAGTCTGGCAATTAGGGGAAACAGATGAATTGCGAGACCTTAAAAGAGCACACGGTGCTTGGTTTATCCACGAGAAGGCATATCAATTATTCTATGGCACAATGCCCCCTTGGGAACACGAAGAAATGGGCAGCGTGTTCAGTTATCTCATTGCCAAGATCAAGGCTATTTCCAAGGAAATTGCAGACGACTTACGGCAACTCAGCAAGAGTACACCGTGCGAGTTCTTCTGGGATATTATTCCTATAGAACAACGGCCACCTTCAGGTTGTGAAATTGAGAGCGAACGTGACCTTGCTCACTTCCACCAACATTTCGAGGGATTGGCGGGACTAGGGCCTGAATTTCTATATCGCGTTCTACATATGGATCGGCTGTCTCGACGTAATATCGTTTGCTTAAATACCAGGGGCTTCTGGCCAGGGCCATTCATTGGACTCAGGATCGGGCTCTCGTGGGATCATAAGTTCCCTTTTATCGATCCAGCGGATCGGCACGAGTCCCAAAATTTCGAACAGCTCTGGTCTACTTTGTCGCCTCTTGAACAGCCTACTGTGGGTTGGAAGAAAGCATGGCTGCTGCCTCACCATGAGGAAGACATTCTTGAGGATTCCATGAATTTCGATCGAGAGTCTGAGACGGACTGGGAATGGAGTTACGCTCTTTGGGATGAGAGAAGATTGAAGGAGTGGAAAGCGCCATTGCTAGTAAAGGACGACCAGGTTTGTGGAGCCCCTGGCAGTACTCGAGTATTCAACTCTTACTGAATATTCTTGTGTTCCATTATGATTTAAACTCAAGTATCAGCTTGAAGGTCGAATCAAGGCATGCAGTGCCTGGAATCTGGTACTCATTCTTACGATTTTCATTCTTTATAAACGGTATCCATCGATGTGAACATTACTTAACCCCCTTTCTTTTTGCGCCGGTATAGAAAATCTGTTTTTATCATGTAGCACTTGTAAGCTCATCATCCACGATAGACCGACCCCCTGGTAAACATGGTCAATTTGGGAACGCTCGAAAGTTGATTCTCAGACTGGCTGGATGGTCTCGTATTTAGTATTAGTTATCTATTTGATCTATAGTTAAATATGATTTCTACTCTTCTCTTCTTATACTTCTCCATTGCATCATAGCCCATCACGTGACCACGCGCCCTCTTCCTCGCGAGCAACTCCGTGCCTTTCTCTCACGCGTCAATCAGGGCTCCTCATGCCACCCGAACGCAGCAATGTGCCGGTGAAGTTGTCGCTGCCCCTGGTAAGTCCTCTTAGACATTCAAAACACTGCTGGTGCTGACAGTGGGCCCAGCAATATCAGCAGGACATCTTCACCGAACTACGCCAAGAGGATGAGCTTGTCGTGCTCGCCCGCGGCCTGGGGCTTTTGCACTTGATCACCAACCTTCTTCATTTTTACGATGCGGTTGGCAACAACCTGGTCTTGGTGGTGGGCGCGGATGATCGGGAGAATGAATGGATCGGAGAGGGTATGTCTGTGGAAACACCCACACTCGGGCATCGGGGCGGACGCTGATGTGGGGTAAAGCTCTGGCGGAACATTATGCTACCAGCAAAGCTCCCCTTGCTAGGGGACTGAAGGTCATCAATACAGAGAAAGCTACGGTGCCGATGCGGTGGGTTTTAAGATGGGTTGGTTTGCAACCGCGCTGATAGTACCCAGTGAACGGATCTACGCCCAAGGCGGTATTCTGAGTGTGACATCCAGAATATTGGTGGTTGACCTGTTATCAAGTATGTAAAGGTTCAAAATCCTATAAACTCTCGCTAACACATTTTTAGAACTCTTGGATCCTGAGAAGGTGACAGGAATGGTCGTACTGCACGCCGATAAGTAAGATCAATCCAAATCTCGAATGTGGCATAACCTAATTCTATGCTAGGGTGGTGGCAACCTCGCTTGAGGCGTTCATCGTTCGGATTTACCGTCAAACGAACAAGCGTGGCTTTTTTAAGGCCTTCTCAGACTCCCCTGAACCATTTACCACTGGGTTCGCTCCACTGGCCAATATGTTACGCAACTTGTTCTTGCGCAAGGCATCATTATGGCCCCGGTTCCATGTCGCAGTGGCCGAATCCCTAGAGGGACATCGCAAGGCAGAAGTGATTGAGTTGGAAGTCCCGATGAGCGACAAAATGAGGGAAATACAGAATGCCGTTCTTGAATGCGTCGAAATTAGTGTCAGCGAATTGCGAAAGTCCAACACGGGTCTGGACATGGAAGAATGGACACTGGACAGTGCCTTGCACCGGAACTTTGACGTTTCCATTCGACGCCAACTGGACCCGATCTGGCATCGGGTGAGTTTCAGGACCAGGCAAATTGTTAGCGACCTGGGCGACCTTCGAGCGATTCTTCAGTACGTGCAAGCAGTGCTATTTGGCATCATTTTTCTAACAAGATGGCAGTGCTCTACTTACATATGACGCGGTGTCTTTTGTGAAGTACCTCGACACCATTGTGGCTGCCCACTCTCCGCCCTCTGGATCCAACAAGCACAACTACTCCCCCTGGCTCTTCCTTGATGCCGCGCATGTGCTTTTTCAGACAGCCAAGTCTCGAGTTTATCAAGGGAAAATTGGCAAGGACCTTGCTCGCCCGTCATCATCCATCAATTTCTCCTCTGAATTGGACCCCGTGCTTGAGGAGCTTCCAAAATGGAATGTTCTAGCAGAAGTTTTGGGAGAGATCGAGCATGATGCTTATCTTCACCCGACAAATCTGGCCGAGTCGAATGGTACAATACTAATTATGTGCAACGACCAACGCACTGGACGCCAGCTTCGAGAGTACATTGGCACTATGCATGCGCGGCTTGCCCGTGGATTGGAAAGCAGAGAAGACGATGATTCGAGCGATGATAACCCCTCTGCAGAAGTGCTCATGCGGCGGCGCCTCCGAGACTATCTCAACTGGAAGAGATCGCTTTCAAACGTCAACAGAAACCTGTCGGCCACGAGCGAAGACGGAAAAAGTCAGGAATCATCGACTCCCCAACAGCAGCAAGGAAGACCTCCTCCAAATAAACGCCGCCGAGTTCGTGGCGGGGGAACAGTCTCCTCGGCTGCTGGACGCGTGCCAAATGCTAGTGTTCAGACCGAAGTTGAGCAACCGGGCCAGGTCGCTAACCTACTCGAGGAGCTTCAACCGACCGAAGTGGAGGAGATGCAAAAAGAAGAAGTGGTTCTTGATGAGCTCCAGGGCATGGACGACTTCTACGAATTGTACGATATGAACGATCTGATCATGATTCACCCGTATGACGGCGACATGGATGAGCATATCCTCGAAGAAGTCCGGCCGCGATACATCATCATGTATGAGCCCGACCCAGCTTTCATCCGGCGGGTGGAGGTCTACCGCAGCTCTCATCTGGGTCGGAATGTGAAGGTATACTTCATGTATTATGGTGGCTCGGTCGAGGAACAACGGTACCTGAGCGCCGTGCGGCGGGAAAAAGACTCTTTTACGAAACTCATCAAGGAAAAAGGCGTAAGTTCTCTCTTCCAGCCTTGAAAACCATTTACTGACCAGATCGCCAGAATATGGCTGTTACCCTGACGCACGACAAGAGCGCCGAAGATCCACAGGAACAGTTCCTTCGAACGGTCAACACCCGTATTGCCGGCGGAGGACGACTCGCCGCAACAGCGTCTCCTCCTCGGGCCGTAGTAGATGTGCGGGAGTTTCGAAGCGCGCTCCCATCCTTATTGCACGGGAACAACATGATTGTGATTCCTTGTCAGCTAACGGTGGGCGATTACATTCTCACGCCAGATATCTGCGTGGAACGCAAGTCGATCCGTGACCTAATCACCTCACTGCGCAACGGCCGTCTCTACAACCAAGCCGAGACAATGCTCCAGCATTACAAGAATCCGCTACTTCTAATCGAGTTCGACCAGAACAAGTCGTTTACTTTCGACGCCTTTGCGTCCGTCTCAGCCGGCACGAATTTCATGACCGATTACGGCTTTTCCTCGACGGGTGCAGCGACCTCCTCCAGTAGCAGTGCGTTGGCCAACCCCTCGAACCCGAAATCTGCGCAGCATCTGCTCGTGCTCCTCACGCTCGCGTTTCCGCGGCTGAAAATAATCTGGTCGTCTTCACCCTACCAGACCGCCGAGATCTTCGCCGAGCTCAAAAAGAACGCTTCGGAACCAGACCCGCTGCGCGCGGTGCAGATCGGTCTTGACATGGACCTATCTGCCTCTGGCGATAATATGATGGCCGTCGCCGGGATCGAGCATCGCAATTTTAACCTCCTTCCGCAGGATATGCTGCGTGCCGTGCCGGGGGTGACGCCGCAATCCCTTGAGCGCCTGATACTGGAGACAGAGAACATCAGCGATATTGCGAATATGGACGTCGACCAGCTCGATCCATTGGTTGGGAAGGAGGCCGCGCGCAAGATGGTGGGCTTCTTTCGAAAGAGCGTGTTTGACTGATAGTTAATTGGAAATAATGGAGAGAACCTGTCCCACAAAGCCACGCCCATCGGAATAGACGGAGGTGTTTTTATATTTATTTTGCATACCACGTAGTCCCTGTAGTCGCGCTTGTCTTGGCACGGCCGTGAAACATTTGACGATCCGCCGGGTTGACAATAATAGCAACGCCCAGTCAACGCCTAGCCCCAGCACGCAAGGGGGTCCATCGGGTCCCCCTGAAGGTGGAGAAGACCGAACATTAGTTAACCAACAATCCGAAAATGGCTTCCTGACGAACTAACGACTTTCCCTCAACCATGTATCTCCCGGTGTTGTTGGCGGTCGCGTTGGCTGCGCCCCGTGTTGTCTTCGCAGAGGATGAGCCCTGCGCGCGTGTCGCCCGTCTGGCGGAGGATGCCAACCAGAGGAAAAGTGCGGTTTTTTTTCTTTGGGATTGATTCGAAGGAGCAAGTTACTGACAATGATTCACAGCCTCGGCTCGCGTGCCGCTTGACCTGGCGCACGAGTGTCTGCTCTCGATGCCCTTTGACTCCGGTCGAGCTGTCACATTCTTGAACCAGCTGCGCAAGACGCTGGAGTTTCAGTCAACTGTTGATATTCTCAAAAGTATGTCAATTCATGATCTTATTACACTGGAACTAACGTGTCTCCAAGACCCCCCTTCCGGGTATATGATGCCTCCCACCGATCTGCTGGGAGGTGTTGATACGATCCTGGATAAAGCCCAGAATAAGGCCTATTCCAGCCAGTTTGAAATGGATTTGGACTTGTCGCTTCTCATTCAGTCAGCGTATGATGGCCACTTGACCCTCGAGCTGTGCTCGCAGACAGTCTTTCATTATCAGATTGATCTGCCTCTGGTGTCGGTATCGACTGATGGACTGGCGCTGCCACAGGTGTACACGTTAAGTAAGTTTCCGGCCCGAGAAGTGCTTGAACGTGAAGATTGACTCGCATAGGTGATTCGAAACTCCAGCAGACTGGTTCAACGGCTGTCTCGGCGCTTGTGTCTGTCAATGATACGGATGTGGCTCAGTATCTCGAATCTTATGCCTTGAGCCAGAGTCTCCAAGACAGAGATGCGCAGTATGTCTTCTAATTCAATTCACAGCTTTTTCTAATCGTATCAGGTACAACCGAGTGTTTCCGGCATTGGCCCGCAGCGTCACCAACACGCCCATCACGCCGAACGGAATCTGGTCTTCCACCAACACCTGGACAGACGATGCACGATTATCCCTCACGTTCGCCAATGGCAGCGTAACCACTGTCGAGCGAACCGCCGTCCCAGCAGAACGGTTCTTCTCGTACCAGAACGGCACAGAACTGTACAACATCTACTGCCTGCCACACGTCAGCTCATCTTCCTCCCTGCGCGCAACAGCCGCGGACGCCGAACAAGCATCCAACATCCCGGGCCTCCCCAATACAACCTGGACAAGCGATGGCGGTTCCATAGCCGGATATTTCTCCAACGCGCCCGACCTCCAAGACACGGGAATCATCTTCCTCCCCACCTTCGCGTCCAACCCACAAGACATCGCCGGCGTAGTCACGACCTTCCTGCAGAATGCCACCGCAGCAGGCAAGAAGAAGATCCTCATCGACGTCACTGCCAATCCGGGCGGCTACATGACCATCGGCATTGATCTATTTCGCATCTTCTTTCCCGACGCTTTTCCCTACACCGCAACGAGGTTCCGTGCCCACGAAGCAGCAAAGTACCTCACCATGGCATACTCGCGCTCCAACACTACGGACTCGAGTAATATCTTCGCGTACAAGCATATGGTCACACCAGATCAGAAAACCGGATTCGACGAGTGGGAAGATCTGTACGGTCCGCATGATATACTGGGTTCTGCTTCGTCGAGTCTGCTGGCGAACTTCAATTTCACTACCACTTCGACGAAATCATTCCCAATCAATGGCTACGGGCCTGTCCCGTTGAACCCCAGCCAGTCCCCGTTCTCAGCTGAGGATATTGCCATCGTACGTTCGGCCTCTCTCCGCCACCCTCCCTCAATATCATCTATCTCCTCCGACAGACTACATAATTACTAACAAATGACAAACAGATAACAGACGGCGACTGCGTCTCAACCTGCGCCTTCTTCGTGAAGCTAATGAAACGCGTGGGCGTACGCACCATCGTCTTCGGCGGCCGGCCCAAGAAGGCACCAATGCAAGGCGTCGGCGGCGTGAAGGGTGGCCAGTCGCTACAGATCAGCTATATCAACGGATACATCCAGCAAGCGGAGCAACTGATCGCCCAGTCAATGAACAGCTCGCCGCCGCTCCTCACGCCCGACCAGTGGCGCGCCTTTAACGCGTCCATCCCGAGCCTGGCACCGTCGCTGGTTTGGGGTGGGAGTGTGAATCTAAGGAATGAGTATGATCCCGATGACAGTCAGACGCCTTTGCAGTTTGTTTATGAGGCGGCGGAGTGTCGGCTTTTCTATACGTTGGAGAATTATCTAGGGGTGGAGAGTATTTGGGAGGCGGCAGCGAGGGCGATGTTTGGGGATGGAGGGTGTGTGGAGGGGTCGATGGGGGGAAAAGGGAGTTTGGATGCCTCTTGAGAGAGGTACGGCTGGCGTTTGTCTTGTTATTGCATGTTAGACAGAGAGAGTGGCATGTACACTGGGATGGACACATTGCATCAGATCGAAGAAAGAAGATCACACTTTACAAATAGAATCAGAGCACTCGAATTCTTTGAAAGATTTAGAAAAAGGTCAGTAGTTAATAAGACGAAAGATGCTGGTTTAAATTGAGATAGGAGACAAGACAATGGGGTTCACAATCTTGGATTATCGCAAACTGAAGCAAACCACTTTCAGTGCTTAGTACTCAGTTCGCACCTCAGGATCAACGTTAAGCAAGACTGCCGTGATCTCTGCCCACACCTTCTTCCTCACGACCGCCGCCTCGGGGCTTGTGACAATATTGCCAGGGCTAAAACACATCAGCGGCGCGAACTATCAGTTCTTGAACACAAGGGACGACTTACTCTGTAATAACCTGATTCTCCAACCACTTTCCATGAGTCTCCACTCCCTGGTTTGCTGCATGCAGCAATGTTTTGCTTCCCTCTTCCACCGTCCTAGCAATCAAAGCTTGGATCAGCTTCAGGATCCACGGCGCCTTCTCTCTAGTCAAGAGATCCGATTTGCAGAATCCCGGCGTCACGGCATTGACAATCACAAGGGGGTTTCCGGACTCATCACGAGGCACAAGTCGAGCTATTTCCATGGTAATGAAGAGATCCATGAGCTTAGTGACACCGTAGCGCTCGGTAGCTCCGCCTGCAGCCTGGGATTTCTTCCACTGTTCCTCGTCATTCAATATGGGAAGAATGTGCTTCTCATTTCGCTCGGGAAATTTGATTGTCTTGTGGATATCACTGGTAAGAATGGTCAGATGCGGCTGTGCTGATGGGTCTCGCTCTTTTGTTCGCAGCAGTAGCGGCAAAAGCTCCAGACTGAGGAGCGCGGTCGATAAAACATTGATCTGGATGCCTCGCTCCCACCCATCACAGGTAACAGCATACTCGACGGACGCAATCCCTGCGTTCATGATAGCCATGTCCAGTCGACCACCTTCTATGGCAACGTGTTTGCGAACCCGGGCTGCGAAGGTTTGGACGCTGGCAAATGATTCGAGATCGATCGGCCATACAAAAACCTTTCCCTTGTCGGTGCAACCGGTGCTTGCTTCGATGTTGGCTTTGGCATCTTCACCTTTGCTCAGGGTTCGAACGCCCAAAATGACCGTACCGGCGCCTAGGACGAGCGCGTGTCTGGCAGCTTCCCGACCAAGGCCGGTGTTTGCACCGGTGATGAGGATAGTCTTCCCCTGGATAACCGAGGGGGGTGGTAAAGTCAGTCTGGTGAATAGAAGGCCAAATAAACCACTCATGTTGGTTTTTTATGTCTTTGTATCCAGCAGAGGATTGAAATTTAGTAGGCTCTTACGATTATTGTTTATTCTGCTGAACGTCTTGCATCGTGAGAACTTTCTCAGGTGAGGATTGAAATGCTATCCGACGGATGAACCCCTGACCGATGAACCAGGGTATAGCAACCATTATCGCCGGATTTCTTTGTTTCTTTTTCTGTCTCCTGGTTCAGGACCTCTGAAGTCGGATGGAAGTCAGACCGAGGTCGCTAGATAAACTACATAGCTCGGAGATAAGCCGCTTTTAATTCCAGCTACGCTGTATGATCATGTGCATGCCCCAAATCTAGGGACATATACTATGGGAGGTGCGCCTACGTATAAGTATGCTTTATTAGTAGATTTATTGTTGAAATATCCTGTCATTCCTGTACACGATCTTGCATCTTCGGAACTTCATGAAGGCACTCCAGGCCCACCTCTAGCTGTAGCACAGCTTCGAGGGCCGCAATCGTGACAGCGTAGGTCTTGCGGCAGTTGTGTTGTAGGATTCGCATTAGTTCTCAGAAATGAGCATGTTCCCAATGACAGTCAGACGCCTTTGCAGTTTGTTTTATAAGGCGGCGGAGTGTCGGCTTTTTTTTTACGGTGGAGAATTATCTAGGGCTAGAGAGTATTTGGGAGGCGGCAGCGAGAGCGATGTTTGCGGATGGCGGGAGGAGCGTTGGATACCTCTTAACGGAGATAGGGCTACTTTGATGGCGTATTTCTTGTTATTGCATGTTAGACAGAGAAAGTGGCATGTCCACTCGGCCGGACACATACTACATCAGATCGAATGTTTACTAGTTAGCCCGCGGTACTTGGTTAAGTCTGGCCAACAGTTTGTTGTGCAACGAGGTAACTTGTGGCGTTTGCATTGAAGCCTAAGCACAGCACGCCTGATTTTCAAAATTCAGTCCGTATCCTGTAAGCTCGTAAAAGGGCCCCAGACGGGAGCCGTGATTGCCTTTTGTTTCTCTTCCCCTCCAACCTATTTAGGGTATTTTACCCACTTCCATCGCCGACACTCTAGATCTGGTCCTTTATTCTTCCGA